TGACTGAAAATCAATTTTCAAAATCCTCGTGTTCGTAAATGCTCGCTGATAATCCGAAAACAGAGTAAGCCAGGAATCTGGATGTATGATGCATTGTCAACGCCTAACTGCTGGGGAAAGAAGCTCATCAAGACAAGCTTTCAAGCAATAACGCATTCGCTCAACGGATGGCCGCAGCACACACTACTGCCAAATCGTAAAATCGCACTTATCTCATGAGGCTCGCCACTATTTAAATCTAATTCAGATTTTTTCATTCCTCTTCCCTCAACAACAAGCATTACTAGTGAAAAAAAAAAAACTGTCTCTAATTGAAAGTTATTCTCTCTCTTTTTCTCCACCACATACATATATATATAATACAAATTTACGTGAAAATGCAAGTATATATTCACATATATACACGCATATATACACAAAGAGGCGCACATTCGCTCGCGCATATGCCTATTTTGAAGGTTTGGTAGGTTCATTTTCGGTAATAACTAAACAAAATATCAAAGTTTGTTTGTAAAATTACTATGATTAAAAAGCACGCTGTTGTCAGATGCACTTCCTTCGGAGGTGTGCGTTTTAAATCCTGTCACCTGTCGGAAAAGCTCAAAAAGCCGAAAAAAGCTGAAAAAAAAAGAAAACGCCCGGAAAAGAAGAAGCGTAGTTTTGTTTGGATGGAGCAACGCGGACTCTGGAAAACTGCAGTGATGCAAACGAAAATGACGGGCTTTCCCTTTTGGCCAAAAGCAAGAAGCACCTTCTGAGTCCCATTATGCCACTACACAGCGGCACATGCAAACAAATGGTAATTGAAAATGGCATTCTTTTTTCCTGCAGCAACAAAATCGCCGCGCTCTTTCTCTCTCTCGTTCATCCTCTGTTATTACTTGATGTTTCTTCTTTCTTCATCCCGAATCAGCAAAGTGCTGGGGAAAAAAAGAAAAAATTTATTACACAAACGCACAGAAACGATTGCTTAAATTGCAGATTTGATTGTATTTCGATGACAGTTTGTAGTGATGACACATATAAAAAATAAAAAAATTTATGCAATAGGAATATTTCGGTTCATCAAGTCGCATACAACTGGATCTCCTCAGTACGACGGCTGTGATGTTGATTAATTGACGATATTTAAAATATACGAAGTATTTAAAATACAGACTTGTATAAAGGTGAAATTGAAGGAAATCTGATAAAAAAAAAAAAAAAAAAAAAAAA